CATCTCATCTCAGATAGGGATTGGCTTCGGCGCACTGATTCTGGATGTTTTATCCGTATTTTCTCTTTTTCAGAGGGGTATTTTTCATTATTTTGAGAAGGTAGCGAGTTGATAAAGTCTCATGCGGTTGGGAGGCTTGTTCGGCGGGAAGCACTTTATTTGGAAAAAAATACGAGTACATGAAGAGCAAGTACAAAAAGTAAAACGAACAAACTCTTCATGAGATGAGTAAGAGGAAATTTTCAGGAAAGTCATATCATGGTCCTGAACTTTCTCCTCTGAGATAAGTACAAGAAGAAAAGAAACGTTAGCTTAAACTGCTGTAGGAAATTCTGTAGCTCCAAAATCCCTATATAGGTATTCGCGGCGCTTGGTGTCTTTATGCCTTAGGGTAAAGATGGTTAAAATTGGTCCAACAGTTACGGAATGAAGAAATTTTGGATTTCTAATGGGTGGACGGGTGATTGGTCTAATAGTCGATGTTCTTTTGTGGTTTCAGGTGAAAATACTCTGAGCCCTCATTCATGCCAGTCGGTAGTTGAGTTGAGTCCGATCGCTGTAAGCGAAAATGAAGGAGACAATTCCAGAAAAAACAGCTGTCAAAGTGGCACCGAACCAAATCAGCCTCTCAGTAAGTTATGCTTTGAATTACTTTTTGTAAACTGTTGGATTGTACATATGTACCATTACTTGCTCTACGTAGATAAATGTTACTATGTGCTGCGGTGGTAAGCAAGAAAGCCGAAATTCCATCATGATTTCCCCCTTTTTTTAGAACTTAACACTTACTAAAATAAAAATTGTTTTACCTATGCACCTCCAATTTTCAGGTCAATTTCTTGATATATTTGCGAAAGATTTCAGTAAAAACATTGTCCCAAGGTACACAAGTTTTTCGGTGAAAATACATTGTTTTCAAAAATGTAAAATGGCGTTTACGGCGTTTTTGCGTTGCATGACAGTATGTGGATGAACCAGAAGTAGTGGCTCCTTACTGTGAAAATATGTACTCCATCTGTAATGTGCCGCTGAAACCAAAGGAAATGATTACAGCTCGGATAATTTAAAATGCAGCGATGCAAGGCATAAATTGAAATCTACCCATGTAATTCAAGGCTGTTCCGGCTAGAGCCTCTCTTCTGCATAAATATCATCGTTGCAAAAGTCATACATTCGTATCCTTACTATCCCTAGCCCATAAATCCAAACCCGGCCTAAGCAATCTTGTGCCAGGAATAAGTGATAAGGCTTTCCAACCTTAATATTTGAAATTCGAACAGCGAGCCAAATAACAAATGATCCTTAAAGAATTGTATATACATTTCATGAATGGCTGGAATCGAGGTGAGAAGGAGATTCTGTGAAAAAATGAATGGGGCTCAGCAAAGAAGTGACAAGCGATTGTATATTTTTTTATTTTTTTAAATTGCTTGACTGTATAAGAAGACCAATGGATCTGTTGTAAAGTCGTTTTGAAGCTTTAGCTCAAAAACCACAACTATATACGCGCCAAAAATATCTGAACTTCCTTCCTTTAATTATTATTAGTGTAAAAAATGTGTGAATGTTTTAACTTTTTCTAAAATTTATACCACGGTAAATACATAATTTGAAACAGAGGAGGTACGTGAATTTCACGATTCCACGCGAAGCTNATGGGACGAGATAACACCTGAACTGGATTAGACCAGATAACAATCGGTGTGTTAACGTTCATATTTTCCGCGCCCGAATTGATTGACCTTGAACTCTCCTTGAATTACGCGCGGAACTGCGTGCAAGCGTCGGCCATGATGAATATCGCCGACGATGGAGCGACTCCTCTAACAAAATGTTCACCTATGCCGTAGTATCGTTTTTGAAGCGGGAAGCTTAAAAAAACGCAAATTTCTTACGTAGATTGTGAAGTTATGAGTGCATTTCAGACTTTGCCGATGCGCTCATCGTGATTTTTGAGGCATTATCTACAAGAAACAACTCTTAGTTTTGCTCTAGCAAAAGTTTGCAACAGGCCCATTCGAGAAAAGCATGCCTTCGAAAAGAAGGAGTTGAAAACTCTTGTTGATGTCGGTGAGAGGGTGACGAATTGTAATAATCTATTGATTAATATTGGTTCAATTGTTTTTGTAAATGGGTTTCAAAAAAATTTTCGAGCAACTCTCTTTTTCTAAACTTTTATTTCTAATTATTCTCAAGGTGGAAATTATATTTTAAAACCGTGACGTTACTTTGTTGGAGATGATTATATGTTTATAACTTTACAAATATATAAATAAAAATACAACATTTTTAAAATGTAACCTGCAAGGTTAGATACAATTTACACGAAGTCGATACAATCATGATTGGCAATTATCCCTTTAAAATAAGCGGTGCAAAACATGGAACGTGGCAAATTGAGGAATGCATGTTTTTTATTGTCCGTCGGTGATGAGAAAATGCGTCACTGCGCATACACCACCGTGTAATTTCAGCGATGATCGTGATCTTCTGCCAGCAAGTCGAGGCGACACTGTTGAAGGCGCCATAAGCAACTATTTCACCACAGAAGTATTGCACAGTATCAGACGGAAATGAAGGCGCACTAGCGAGTGCAAATTGACTGATATCGTTTACCACTGTGTAGAGTCCTACTGATCATACTATATACGGCTCTTGCGCGATCGATTTTTGTAAAACTTGGTGCCAGGAAGTATTTTATGACGTTAAAGTCGAATTTACAGTTAAATATTCAAAATTCAAAAATCCAACATGGAGAAAGAGGGCCTAAAATGCTATCTTTGTGACTTCAAAATTTTACAACTTTGCAATCGACATTATATCTATTCTTTTTCTGTTCAGTTTCAAAATCTATGTACTCTCGGCTAATTTAGGTTATAATGTCGGCGCTTTTTTCAACCTTATTGTATAAAGACTGCTTGTCTATTTATTCATTTTATTATTTTATTCCTTTGACTTTTTTATTTCCTCATTTGATCATTCAGAGAAATAAAATGAACTATCCTCATCATAACATCATTGACGCAAAAGCAAAAAAGCGAGATGATAATAACACTAATCATCAGTTAGTTTGTTTTGACGCTTTTTCAACTCTTCGGGCCCGTTTACCTCAAGAGCTATAAATTTCGGAACTGTTTTTGTTAGTTCAAAGATTCTTACTCATACTTATTTTTCCCTTTCGTAACAAAAATATCATACTTGAATGAAGCATTAAAATAATATTTTCAGTGGCGAGGAGTGAATGATCGACTATCGATATTTCCCCATTTGAGCTGATGGTAAAAGATCAATTATTAACACCGAAAAAAAATGAGAAGTTGATTTAACATTCTAGGTGTAAACAAAGTGTGTGAGAACTCACAAAATGCTAAATTACCCGCTACGGCAAGTTAGTTTTACATCTTGACATTGCTAAAGTAACTGCCGTAGCAGTTAATTCAGCATTTTGCAAGTTCTTGCACACTTTTAATACATCCAGAATGTTAAATGAACTTCATTTTTTTTTCAGTGAAGGTGTTCGATGCGAACATCCTGTCTATCGATACTTTTTCATAGGTTTAAATGGCATATCAATCGACTTATCGCAAAGCACATCACGCCACTGAATATTTTGCAACGTGTCTCGGAAAAATATCGGCAGATATCAGAGTGTTCACATCGGTTCATCCACCTCAAAACATAGAATGTGGCAAGAAATCTTGAAACTTACGAAAAGAGATACATGGCTAGGTTGTTTTACCATAAATTTATCAACGCTATTGAACTTTTTCAGTGGCATAAAGTGTATTTTATGTAGCAGAGAAAATAGTCCCCACCCTCGCCCCTACCCTTAAAAGCGGCTTCGCGTGGAGATGAATGATTTTTTTCTTTAATTTTGATTATTTTTTTTAAAAAAAACTGATGTAATCGTTGGAGCTCATAGCATCAAAGCTTGTCAATTTCAGCTTCTTGTGTGAAATTATCCTTTTAAACTGTATTTCCTCTTTTTACCAACGACAAAGGAAGAAACATTATGTCATTCTAAGGTCTCGATGCGACCATGAATTGGTGCGAACCACAAACTCATCCTCGTTTCGATTTACAGAACTAGGTATCCGTGGTCACTTCTGAGGTAGTTATACACTACATCTTGTGGCTTTAATGTGTGACTGCGAAACCCAAGAACGTGTCCTTCAAATGGCTGGTGAATAATGTGAAACCATTAAATAATTTCTACAATTTGCCTTGGTTGAGACATTTCCGCGTCCCTTTTCTAACGCATGCCATAGTATAAAATGCATACGCATGCCCGTAGTATAAAAAATACGCATGACGCAAGTCTGGGCCATATTGTGTAAAAGAGACGTAGTTAGTGTTACTAGTAGAGTATCCCCTCAAATAGTGGAGCAAAACATGTCTCATATTGCATTTGAAGGGTTAAGATTGCAAACCTAAACATATCTAAAATTTTAGTTCCCTACGACAAAGGATGATTTTCTTATCCACCGTACAGGTTATAGCTAGCTCATCTCATCTCAGATAGGGATTGGCTTCGGCGCACTGATTCTGGATGTTTTATCCGTTCTTTCTCTTTATCAGAGAGGTATTTTTTATTATTTTGAGGAGGTAGCGAGTTGATAAAGTCTCATGCGGTTGGGAGGCTTGTTCGGCGGGAAGCACTTTGGAAAAAAATACATGAAGAGCAGGAGGTACAAAAAGTAAAACGAACAAACTCTTTATGAAATTAAGAGGAAATTTTCAGGAAAGTCATATCATAGTCCTGAACTTTCTCCTCTGAGATATGTACAAGAAGGGAAAAAAACGTCATCTTAAACTGCTGTAGGAAATTATGTAGCCCTAAAATCCCTATGGGTATACCCGCGCCGCTTAGCGTCTTTATATGTCTTAGGGTAAAGATGGTTAAAATTGGTCCAACAGTTGCGGAACGAAGAAGGGATTTGAGTAATCTTTGGATTTCCAATGGGTGGTTGGTCTAATAGTAATATTTTTTGTGATTTCAGGTGAAAACACTCTAAGTCCTCATTCATGCCAGTCGGTAGTTGAGTTGAGTCCGATTGCTGTAAGCGAAAATGAAGGAGACAATTCTAGAAAAAACAGCTGTCAAAGTGGCACCGAACCAAATCAGCCTCTCAGTAAGTAATGTTTTGAATTAATTTTTAAACTGTTGGTTTGTACATATTTATACCATTACATGCTATGTGTAGATAAATGCTATTAAATATAAATGTGCCAGAAATAGTGACCCCTCATTGCGGAATGTAATCCATCTATAATGTGCCGCTGAAACCAAAGGAAATGATTACAACTCGGATACTTCAAAATTCAGCGATGCAAGGCATAAATTGAAATTTACCCATATAATTCAAGGCTGTTCCGGCTAGAGCCCCTCCTCTGCAGAAATATTATCGTTGCAAACGTCATACATTCATATCCTTACTATCCCTAGCCCATAAATCCAAACCCGGCCTAAGCAATCTTGTGCCAGGAATAAGTGATAAGGCTTTCCAACCTTAATATTTGAAATTCGAACAGTGAGTCAAGTAACAAATGCTCCTTACAGAATTGAATATTTATTTAATGAATGGCTGGAATCGAGGTGAGAAGAAGATTCTGAGAAAAAATGAATGGGGCTCAGCGAAGAAGTGACAAGCAAATGTATATTTTTTTCATTTTTTTAAATTGCTTGACTGTATAGGAAGACCAATGGATCTGTTGCAAACTCGTTTTGAAGCTTTAGCTAAAAAACCACAAATATACGCACCAAAAATATCTGAATTTCCTTCCTTTCATTATTATTAGTGTAAAAAATGTGCGGATTTTTTAACTTTTCGCTCTAAAATTTATACCAAGGTAAATACATAATTTGAAACAGAGGAGGTACGTGAATTTCACGATTCCACGCGAAGCTAAAAAATCCCCCGTCATGTGATGCAGTTCTTCAAGAAATAAAAACAAATAAAAATATTCTTTTTTTAAACTTAAGTTGAAAAGTATGAAAATGAAGAAGTAGGAGAAACGGCGTTTGTTTTTGTCGCCTGTTCTAAAAAAAACTGCAAAACACAATGGTGGCCATTTTGAGTTTCACGTGGAGTTTTAAAAGCGGAGTAACGCATGTGTGTCAAATTAAGTTTTTGCCGAACATACGCTCAAAAAACGCAGACCTCATGAAGAGTCCCAGGAGTGAATACCAGACTTTTTTGTTGTGTTCATTATGATCTATAAGCAACTATCAATAAGTTTTCTTTTTTTTTATTTCACTTCTCTCGGCAAAAGTTTAGAACAAACTCACTACAGATATTTACCTCCTGACATTCGCCAAAAAAAAACTTGCTCACCTTTGATGAAGTTTGTTTAAATTATTTTACAATGCAAACTTGGCAACGTAGTCCTCGGCGAGGAACCTACTCGTTTCCTTCATCGAGACTGGAGGCATGGAAATTTGCGTATTAGAGCTAGGAACGACGGGTGGGTGAGGCGTCCGCCAGCTGCTCCAGGAGGAAAGAATTGCAATGGGGTTGCCTAGACTGAGAAGCACAGGAACTTACATTACAAATTCATAAGACATGTTCCACGGCCATACCCAGCGGAATGATACAAGGCTTGCGGTGTTCTCACCTCCGACGAAGATTTACAACAGAAAGTAGTACTGCCGTACTGAGGAAAAACGCCGTATGAACATTCGAGAGTTGCCAAATTCCCTTCAGTAAAATGTTTATTTTTAAGAGAAGTTGTGAATATTTGTCCTCGACATTTTCAGGAACTTTATGTTAAATTGCGATGAAAATTATCTGAAAAACTTGAAGGACAATATTAATAAGTTTACCAGGGAATTCGTGTTTTATCAAAGGAAATTTGGCAACGCCTGAAGGTTCATACGGTGTTTTTCCTTAGAACGGCAGAGTGAGAGACGAGCTGTTGTCCATCTTCACTTTTACAATACGCTCGGGGGAAAAGGGTTTTTTTTTTATTCGTTACGCTTATAGTAATAATTTACGATGCGAAATGATTCGTGCAAACATCAGAATTAAGAGCCTTCGAGTTAAAATATTCTTGTTGCCAAAAACTTTTGCGTGCACAGTTTTGTATGTGACTTGGCAGCGTCGCAAAGGAAGCGCATGGAACTACCACGGCAGAACTCAATTTAATGCCGTCATTTATTCAAAAGCTCATTAAATTGAATTGAATCAAGCCTCTATAAGGCTAGTTTCCACACATATATGCTTCGCCAGTGTTACAGTCATTTCCATGCTTTTGCATCGCTACAAGAGGAGTAAGACAGTGAGAACAGCAATAACAAGTAACCTCTGCACTGTGAGAAACGGATTAAAATTGCAGTTTTATTAGTCATAATCCAGTGGAACAGTAGAAGTAATATTCGGAAGTTGATTCGTCAACACAATTTTTTCGGAAAAGAGAAGATTTATCCTGACATTTTTTATGCTCAGTGTATTCTTTTAAATTTTAATTCTTAGAAAAATAGTGAATTCTCCTTTTTGCACCCTGTATTCTTTTGTCTACTCCCCGAGTTACCACTCGTTCGCGGTTTGCCCATTTCACGATTCCGAGAGGCAAAATGCATATATTTGAGAAAGTTTGGTACAGATTTGGCAACTGGAGGATTTATGCTTTGAATGAGTGTAAAAATCGTGAGGAAACATGGAACTTAAATTTCCAAAAGCTCTCTTTGGTTTATTCTGGTGTAAAATAAGTTTATGTGGCGGTAAACTGGCATAGGCACCATCTCTAACAAACTATTTACATCTCGCTTAGATAAGTGCTGGGATTAAAAGAGGTTCGGGACATTCGAAAAAACCATAATATTTCAGAATTCAAAAAAAAGGAGGAAAAAATAGGAAGAAAAAGAGGAGGGAAAAGATAAGGAAGAAAAAGGGAAGGAAAAAGAGAAGGAAGAAAAAGGGAAGGAAAAAAGATAAGGAAGAAAGAAAGAGAGAAGGAAGGAAGGATAAGAAGGAACGGAGGGCAGCTTCAATTATTCATGATAAAATTTACTCAAACTGTAATTTGGACGCTTCAAATTTTCGAAAATTTTCTGGACTTCCCCTATTTCGCCCCCCCCCCCATTCTTGTACCTGGATCCGCCCATGTGCCTTTCCCCATTGCATACCATTTTGATCCTTAGTATGCGGAGTTCTAAATATAATTTTTAAAATATGGAGTTAAAATATATTGTATCTGTATCCATTAGACCAAATTTTTCACACTTTCTATTATTAATCCACGCCTTCTTCTTCTTCTTCTTCGTCTTCCTCTCCTTCTTCTTTGAGTAATATTATTAATTTCCATCTTCCTCTCTTCCTCCTCCTTTCTTTTCCTCTTTGTCTATTTCTTCCACTGCTTCCCCTTTTTCTTCCTCTTCTTTTTCCCCGGGCAGCCTTAAGCTGTACAAAAACACGGTTGATTGCAGAACAGTAAGCCGTTGCACGCGCAAGACTGTTTGTGAATTGGCGCTTTTCGCATCCAATAAAGCTGCCAGAATATACAACCGGGAGAAACTCTTACCCTCGACCCCCATGTCCCCTGTTCCCGCTCACCTGGCTCGTGCTGCTACCCTGCTACCCTGCTACCCTGCTACCCTGCTCCCTGCGGAATGATGGATAGGGCCGCCGCAGTTGCCGCCGCGCCGCAGCCGCGAGACCCCTGGCTATCCCTTCCCGAACCCTGTTCAAACAACATCCCTTGTCTCCAGACTTGTGTGCACAGTCCAACCGTGCCGCCGCCGTGACCATCGCACGGACCAGCACCCCCCCTCCCCCCTCCGCCTTTTATTTATTCATTTTCGGGCGGGGAATGTCCGCTTTAAGACGAATCCACCGATGCCGATTCTTGGAAGTTTTAGTCTAAACTGTAGGGATATACTGAGAAAAATACCATTTTCATGGAATATAATAATGGAAATCAACGACGGGCTCAGTGGTAGCATATCGATGGTAAAGTGCAAAACTACGTATATCCATTTTGGCGTTTCAAAATTTCCGCTCCTATTTCAATTTTTTCGAAGAGAAACGAGGCGAAGAGAGAAATATAGTGATGCAGCCTGGAATTTTGTACAGAATATTCTGCTGATAGAGAGGAAAACTCAAAGAAATTTCCAAATAATTAGGTAGACTAGAAATCAGCAACGTACTTAATGCTAGCATATTGAAAATCGATGGCAAAGTGCAAAACTTGTATCTCTATTGCGGTGTTTCAACTTTCCGCTCCACTTTAATTTTTTCGAAGAGAAACGTGGCCAATATATAGCCTGAAATTTTCGCAGAATATTCTGCTAAGAGAGAGGGAAACTTAAAGAAATTTCCGACGAATTACGGCGACTGTTTTTTTCTAAAGAAACAGCAAAGTATAACAGGAAATTGCCACCCAGTACACTCTTAAGGTCATAGGTGGATCCGAGGGGGCACGCCCCCCCCCCCNNNNCCCCCCCCCCCGTTGGCCTGTAAAAAGGAGGAGGAAAAGGAAAGAAGGAAAGGACAGATGAAAGAATGTGTGCTCATTCTCACTACAGATTCACCTTATAAAATTTGGTGATTCTTCCGTGAGGAACGTCCATACGTTTGACTGCCTTCATTTCTACATACTTTTCCATCTCTCTCGTATACCTTTTGTAATCCCTCAGCTGAATCAATGGCAGATTCATCTTCCTTAATTTCCAAAGAATCCAATGAAGTGAAGTGGCAACTTTGGAATAAGTTTACGTGAAGCCCGCGAGTCGGTCCTGCTGAGGAGTGGACGTAAGCAGCAGTTGTGCAAATTTAAATGCCATCGACATTTTGCTCGTAATTTTCCCAGCTTGATGCGGTTTCTCGGGAGCAGTGACGCTCGACTCTGACTTGACACTGTTGCCACTTTATTTAGTAAAACTTCAATTCGAACGTGTATGCTAATTTAAGAAGAAAGCTAATCGAAAATATTATTCAGGAAAAAATTCATTTCTCTCAGATGAAAAAGAATTAGCCCACTTGTCCAGCACCTATGCAATTTTCTATAATATATATAGTTTATTTTGCTTTATTGTTCGCCCTAAGGGCGCCAAAATGAATAATTTCATCTCCTATTCTCTCTACAGAGGGGGACTAAGTAAATAAAAATGTAAATCATATCGAATCTGCGTGCC